ATAGATTCATTTTATCGAGAAAAAAATGAACCAAGTATCTCAAGTTCATCTACAAGTCAAACATTGCAAGTTCCAAGAAATCAAATTGTAACGGAATATTGAGAATAAGCGAAGGATACGATGCAGAAAGATTTATAATCGGATTGTTGGATCTCGTATATTGAGGCCTTGCCTTGCTTATTATCTCTTCAAGCTCAATTCCGTTACTTGTTGTACATGATTTTATTTCTCTCTCAATATTAACACACATTATACATGCCTATATCTATATATTTCTATCTATATAACTAACTATATGACTTGTACAGTAACATATATACACGATCCAACAAAGATGTGTAACCTCCAGTGAGTTGTATGCTTCACACTGCACAATATCTACTGAGAATATTCTCCACTGTTCTGCTCTCTTCTCTTCCCTCTCCTTCTCAACAATTTGTCCTTGCGTCTGTTTGATGCGGTAATCTTTTGGAGTGAAAAGAGAACAATGAGCATATATCCAGTGAATAGCGCAGCGATTACAAAGGTATTGAAAAAGTATTGAATGCTATGAACAGTATTACGTAATGATACAACGTTGACATCATACAAGGATGGTACGAAGTAAGAGTAAAATAACATAAGGATGATATCACATCGGTGTATCTCTTGGCACACCCTAATCCTTCTTTCTATACATAAACCGCTATTCCTATGTTTAAGCCATTACAGCTACATATAGTCCCGTACTTCTATTCCTAAACTCACTCCTATACGTAACCCCCTAAAATTACATCGTAATAGCCACATCCTTACGCCTACATCCTTGGCTCTTTATTTTTACACCCATACCCTGAAAATTGAGTCGTTATGCCTATATCCTTGAAACTATATCCTAACACATGTACCTTTATAACTGTATCCTTAGGTTGTTGGTATTCGTGAGGAGGCGAGTTGTAACTACAGCCACATCCACAAAATCACACAAACCCCATATATTCACAACCACACTCACAACAGCAACAGTTCGACACGAGTATAGTAGAAGGAAACAGGATGTTCAGATCTAAATCCAAGTCTGTTTTCTTCAATCATTCAAGTGAGATCTTCAGAATCGAAAATTTTGCAATGTCTGAATAAACCAAAGCTACTCGACTAATTCAAGCGCGAAAAGGATGTAACGTAAAATACATGCGAAGCAGTAAAAGAAATGGAAGTCGGGACGTGAAGTGGCATAAAAGAAGAACTCCATTTCTTTTCCACTGCGGAACTCTATCTAAGCAATAAAAATCCTTTCACCAATCCGAATATCCTTACGTTGCACAAATGAAATAGTGTTTTTCGTTCCTACAATAAAATGAAGGTATACTGACGTCATTTCAAGATTCTCTTTGCCTTGCACTTGAGATAGTGCAAGAAAATGCAAACAAGAGAAGTTTCTAGATGCTTTCAAGAGTGATAAACAATGCGTTCGTCTCTCACTCTATAGAAGAACATATACAGGTAAAGTATACACAGTCCGAGTAGTTTTTATTGAGTTTCAATTTTTTACCTTCTAATCGATATAGCCCTGTAATGATAACGAGTATGGTTATAGGTGTGGTTCGGTGTTAAATTAATGCTAACACTCACACCTTCCGCTTTTCAAGCATTTTAATTGAGGTTAGTGCGAAAGTTTCTCCGAATGGAGTTTCAATCGCTTGAAAATGGTCAAAAAAGAGAATCACGTTTTTTGGAAATTTATCGATTTGCTGTCTAAATATATTGTGTTTTTCAGATACCTTTACCATGACCAACAATGGTAAAGATAGAGATCAGCAGCAAACCGAGAAATATGTGTACGAATCGCTCAACAAGCCCACGAATACGATAACAGATGCAGAATCAACCACTGAAGTACACATTCCACAATATGACCTCGCGGCTTTGTGGGATAAACATTGCGAGTATGAATTTAGTACTCGTGACGTTAATGCAACGATGTCGACTATGGTACCCGACCCCTATGTCAATCATATTCCAACCATGACTGGTGGCGTTGGGGCCCAGGAGCTATCGCGTTTCTATAAACATCACTTCGTCAACAGCAATCCGGCAGATACACACATGGTTCCGATCTCGCGCACGGTTGGTGTTGATCGAGTGGTCGATGAAATGTTGTGCTGCTTCACCCATGATCGTGAAATCGACTGGATGCTGCCTGGCATCGCGCCCACTGGCAAGCCCGTGAAGATACCATTGGTCGCTATTGTTACATTTCGTGGTGATAAGATCTGTCACGAGCATATCTATTGGGATCAGGCTTCAGTACTTGCACAGATAGGGCTCTTGGACACCACAAAATTACCAGTAGCTGGAGTTGAGACAGCCAACAAGGTTCTCGACAAAAGTCTGCCTTCGAACACTTTGATGAAGCGTTGGGCAGAAAGCTCCGATAGAAGCTAAATGTCAATAAATAATTCAGCTCACGAAGGAACACGCTTAGGTGAAGCTCTGCTTTTGACGTGATATTTTGCTCACATGTAGGCTTTAGTGAGACTAGAAAAACCTCAAAAATGTTTGGGTTTCTATGGCTTCTTTGTTGAGATATGAATTTCACATCTTCTCTAACAGTGCTATGATTTATATTATAATACGATGCAATATCGATTTTTTTCGCAACGACATGAAATACAGACTTACAGTTTTTTTTTGTGTGAACTACATTTCACAGTGGCCATATGTGACACACTTTTTTAGCTCTGACAAAAGCTCCGAACCACACATATCAAGGTTCCTTGCCTGACACTAGCTTGCATGAAAGAGAGCTTCCAAAATGAAGCCTAGGTTTTTAGACGAATCGTGTATGAACAAGTGCTTGAATTAATAAGCGACAGTATTGACTTTATTCTCTCATACTGCATGCAAGAAACTACTAACTGGAAGCAGGAAGAGCAAGAAAACAGAATTCTGTTCTTTCTCTGTATTGTCATTTTGTTCTCCATTCACGTGTGTACGTACACATTGTTATAGGCATGTCACTGACATGTCTTTATATCGCTTTGGCCATTTGTGTCTGGTTTCTGTCTATACGTGGTTCTATCCTTTTCTATTCTTCTTTTAGTTTCAAGCTAGTGAAAGCATAAAGAGGAATCGAATAAAGTAATCTCTCGTACACGTGTATAGTCGTTGTGCCATCTCCTCATATTGAGAGAAGTGCGTGCATTCTTACATTGTCTGACTATTCATTACAATCTCTTTGACCAAGTATGTGTACTATCGATTCGAGAAACATTGCCTCAATTTTGTTCGACTGAATTTGTTCATCATCAGCCTCACAAAAATCTTCATCTGCTCTCACGCTGAAAGAACATGTAGTGACTGACTATTCGATCGATGTATTGGATTCAATCGTTAAAAGCAATGATTTTTCTGTCGAGACGGAAGTGCCTCTCGATGTTGATTTGAGAGATAAAAAGGATTATGAAGAATCTGAAAAAAAATCAACTAGATGAGTCTGCGACCGACTCGGACTACGATATAGAAGATGATAAAAAAAAGTCAGACCTAACAAAATTTTCCAAAGAATATATGCAAAAGGTTCTTGACTACTATGATAAACGAAATCAACAAACAGGATATCGTAAGCAGACTTTTCATGGTGTTCAATGCCGCTACAAGTGCATCAAGAATAGCGGCTATATCACAATGTTTCGAAAATATTTAGAAGAGAATGGTGGTACCAAAAACCAAAAACTTGATCAAGCTGACGACTATATGCACGCGAACAATGTCTACCATTGGCTATTGAATTTTAAGTATCGACACTATTTATGCGCACGTAAAATTACAAAGGTAAAAAGTTCTCATGTTTTGTCGAGGATTATACGACCTTAATGAGAGTAATTTATTTTGAAAGTTTCACAGTTTTTTATTCACTCCTATCCTGAAATAAGAACATAGAATTTGTCGGTGTTAATGAGTAATGTAGCAGCCATGCTGTTATCATAGACGTACCTTCCAATAAGAACCAGGAAACTTGTTAAGACCTATTTCTGTGAAAAGTTTCAGTTGAAATTCGAAAATCAATTTTTCTAGGGTTTCTGATCAGAACCAATAATATTCTAAAAATGAAATTTCTCCATGGCAATAAGCTAAGAGCCAGAACGCTTTCCAGGATATTTATACTTCATTAGAGTGTGTATGATGCACAATATACTGATTGAAGAATGATTAATCAATTGAGGGACTTCTCTCGTTAGATAAATTTTCAAAAAACATTATGTTACGTTCATGTTGATTGAATTATCGGCGAATTGAATTTTATCAGTGTTATTTTAATCTATCTTGAGCAATCAAATGACAAGGATATTTAAGATAAAAATTTAATAAGTCTTGATAACACTATCTTTTCCTTTCTCTATTTATAAATAAATAAACCATTCTATCAGCAGGTTAAACTGTTGTCATACACTGAATAATGTGACGTTCAATCTTGTTTTTCGTCGTATTGAATAAGAAGATAGAAGATAGATTTTTAAAAAAAAACAACATTATGATTTGAAGAAAAATCACAGATTACTACATAATCATCTAGAGAAAAATGATGATAAAACATCTGTTGAGAGATCAATGCTTATCTTGATAAGCAAATGAAAATTACTAGGATTCCTAGTAAGTATATTTAATATAATATATCAGTACTTTTCTGCAAGTACTTATCCTAGTATAGATTAATATATACGATAGATAATATTAACATTACTCTCAAATGTAAGAATTTGTATTGCTTACACTAATAATTAATTTACTTTTGATTCAATTATAGTTTCTCGTTGGATGTAGTGCCTTGGTTTTTATGACAATGTGACATAAGATATTTTTATAAATGTATATCATCCTCACCCACATATGATCCTACGTGATATACTTCAATGTTATTATAACAACCAGAGTCTAGCGCCCACTGTTGACTATAATAGTAACATTGGTTTAATATTTTAACTGATGGATCGATTCATTTAATGGTCATTTCTATAATAATGTTGTTTGAAAATCGCCGTTTGTTACTTTTCATAATTCCAATATGTATTGCTATTGCAATATATCCAATACCATTTGATGGTAAACAAATCATATCACTTGATGCTCCTTTAATAACTACTTTTGATGTTCTTGTTAATCATATTTGGAAATTCCATCCTTTTATTATTCATACAAAAGAATTAAAAAAAATCAATTCTACTTGTTCATATTATGAAATAACAGATCGTATTCCATTTATTTCATCATTAGAAATAAATATTCCATCAACATATTATGTACAAATGAATATTGATCGAGAAAATAATTGTTTAACAAGTATTGTTCATACACAATTGAATATAATGCATGCATATCATCAATATTGTATGCATAAAAATACATTAAAACCAACAACAACAATAATAACAGATCAAGTTTATGGTAAATCATGGATGATTTTTAAATATTATATACAAAAAACTATGTTGATATCACATAAATATACTTTAGATAAATTACGAAAAGAAATGATGATTTATTCAACTGAATAGATTTTGTATAATTTTTTTTCTATTTTTATAAATTTGTGATTTTTTTTTTAAAAGATTATTATATTAACAAAAATTCGTATTAAAATGAATAAATACAATAGAAAAACAAAAATAATAAAGTAAGTTGAATAATTTTTTATTTCTAATATTGCAACTCTATTTCACATTTTTCATAAAATCTATTGCGAAAAGAAAAATACATAGGCAAAGTTAGCTAAAACGGGACTTGGTTATCTTCGACTTGACTTTGATTCATTATAAGAGCTATTATTTTAAACAAACTCTTTTACCATGAACATATACAAAAATATGGGCTCTTTCAGCTCACAATCTAAGTAAACTTAACTCACGAATAAGTCTCTAACCTTACGACAGAAACATCGAAGAATTTCAAAATAGAATCTACATTACAACATATATCTGTAATGAAATTTTCAGTTAGATCCGACTCAAACAAAGAACATACTTCATCGAAACTAATTTTCCAGAACGAGGAGTTTTTGTTTTCTGAAGTTCTTATTTAGTTCAAGAAAATTTTTCGTTTCGATCTTCGAATTTAATCACATCATTGACATTGAATAAATTCAATTTTTGAAAAAACTGAATATATTCAAAAAAACTCTTGTACAGAAATTCTGCAGCTTGAACATTTCTTTACAAAGTACACTATTTAGTTTTCAAAAATACTTTTTGAACTTGCGGAATTTGAAAATGGAAACGTATGCAACGGTAACCTTTGCGCTTTTTTGTATCACATCGTTAACGTTCATTTTTCAATAATAATTCGACGTATACAGCTGAGTTTTATTAGAATATCTAGAGTAACTCAACATACATTCGATACATAAAAATTAGCTAAAACATTGTTCGAGTTTCGAAAGACAGAAAAAATCTCAATAAATATTTGTTTTTTTTTCTAGATTTGATTTATATAAAGTACTTGATGAAGAAGATTATGAATCATTCTCATCTATACAATCAAATCGATTTCATATCTACAAAGATATTCAATCAACCATCGAATATTCAAAAATACAATATTAAATTAAAGGAAATTATTTATATTATTTAATAGGATTTATTAGATAAAAATATGAACATATCTTCTTTAAGATAATTCTAGGTCAAGGAGTAATAAACGAAGGATGAATTTCAGCAGAATATTAAAAGATTTAATGCCTCATCTCGTACGCTGAAAAATTTATGAAAATCATGAGCAAATTTTTTCATTTACATTTTAACTCAGAGGATAGCAATATATGAAAACACACATCAAGATTTGAATTTCTTTATGCGCATCCGAAATTAAACCTTTAGCTCATTTGAATACTCTATAGAAAAGGTAGTCCATATCGATTTGCTATACAGAAAATAATTAAATATTGCCTAAAAAATGGTTATATGATGTAAAAACAAAATTCCATATCTAATTTTTAACTTTTGCTTTTCTAGAAAATGGTGAAAAACAAAATTGAAAAAAATGTTTCCGATCGACGCCGGATACTTCTCAGTGTTGTTCATTCATGAAAATTTCCATCTCGAAGAAATTATAATTTCATCTAACACACATTTCTTTCTAAAAAAAAGAAGAAAGAACAGAGTTTTCCACTCCATACATACTCCTGAAGAATACGTAAATTTTGAAAATTTTTTTTTCCTGTGATGAAATTATGTTCTTCCAGATCAATGGAGCTTCGAGCACGGCTCACAACTATATGATAGAAGTCCATTATTTAATTTAGTGTTATAAGATTATTTCATCAAATATTCCGTCAGAAGAGTGTCTCATATAGTACAAAATTACAATTAATTATTAGCTTACATTATATGTTCGTGATCCGTGTGACTAACTCTACCGATCTGAAAGATTATTATTATATTACAGGAAACAAGTTTCTTTTTTTCAAAATTTCCGTATGTCCTTCAGAGGTGTGAGTGGAGTGGAAAACTTTTTTTCTTTTTTGAAAGAACTGCATATGCGAGATGAAGTGCTAATTTCTTCGAGATGAAAACTTTCATGAGATGAAAGACACTAAGAAGTATCCGAGATCGTTTTCCTTGAGGCTGTTCACCTAGTTATTATTTAAGATTTGTCCAATATATGTAAATAGATCAATTATTGTGTTTTTTTCCCTACTAACGATAGTAGATTGTTCGTTGGATTTTTTTCCTATCTGCTTGTACGTATATATGTATATCTAATGCGTATATCGATTTGTCCTTTTCTGTCATATATGCTGATGAGTTTTTCTAGGATTGTTATCATAATCAGATCAACCAACCCTATTATAAGATCTTGTATAATTCTTACAAGATCATATAGAAACTTATTCTATGAGTTTATATGTCAATTTTAATGCAATTATTTCTGATAAAATTTTACTATGTACAATCTTAATGTTAGGTCTTTTACAATTCATATATAATTTTTCAGAGTTTTTCACAACATTACATAACTGATTTTCTTCTATTTTTGGCTTGTGTCATCGTGTTTTCTTAAGAACGTCTTTTATCTTCAGACGTGTATGTGTATATTTATTTATAGAAATTACAAAAACTCAATGAAAACAAAAATATATGTTTAAAGGACATTTTAAAAAAAAGATTCATTTTTATTGAGTTTGATCATTAAAATAATCTAAAATAAACAATTTAAATAAAAGAAAATCTATTTCTATTTAATCAATCATTTGTAGAGTAATTTTTTAGCACATCGCCACCACTACATAGAAAATGTATTTTCAATTGCAAAAAAAAAGGTAGCTTCTAAATTAGAACATATCTAATCACTTAAATATTTATTTAAATATACAAAACTATCGTTATATAAAAATTATTTGTATAAGTGAGATCTAATATTATCATTCTTATAAAATTCTAACCATCAGACTTTCCAAGAACTTTATAGTTGAGAATCATATAGCATTCACAGTAGAATTTTATAGGAAGATATTTTTACCCATTTCTTAAAGTTTTTTCACTTGACTATTTATATATACACATACATTTCCTTGTCTGAAAGTTATTAGGCTTTATTGTTCTTCTTCGACTTCTACAAAGTTAGTGTTATGGGAATACAACCGAACTCACATCTCTTCAATTTCGTTTATTGATTACATCGATAATTTCTACAGTCCACTATTTATGATTACATTCACGTCAATGACACATACTAAAATAAAATATGACGTATGTACCGTACTTTGTGACATCATATGCGACATATTCTGTCCAGCGACGATGTGACACGTGTTTAAAACGTGGTTCGCACCAGTCTTCAGTCGATTTGTCATTCTTTCTGTATAGACAAATAATGAATATTTTTTCAGTTTAATTCGAATTAGTGATATCTATTCTTAAAGCTCAAATGATTAGATCTTAACATCTAACTGTCTTGAATTCGTTTGATTTCGATAAGTTCAACTGAGTTGGTTATATCTAAGTGTATGAATAGTTATAACAGACAGATCAAGACACATTTTTATTTTACTATGCACACTTCAACCATTACCTATATGTTTGATCCTTATATTACGACTTCACAATCATATCATGATTGCATCAGCTTCTACTTCAAAGCAAATCGTATCAAACCTAGATAATGATAAGAAAGTCGTTTTTTTTTTTGTCAGTTGGTGATGTAACGTACAATTTTCTTGAATCATTTGTTTCATTACAATCGTTGACTAGTGATAAAACAAAAAAAAAATACATTATGACATCCACATATGGTTTTTATTTCTGCTATTACAAACTAGGACAAACATCCAAAAATTCTGTAAATTATTGAAGTATAATTGTCGTAGAAAATGTTTTTTTTTTCCATAGTAAGATTAACTTTTCTATAGAGTATCGAAATGACCTAAGAATTTGATTTTGAATGATATTCATTTGAATGTGCATTAAAAAAAGAAATTTTAATGAATGCTTCGTAGACTGGAGTCGTTGTCGATATTCGCATGAAGATTGTCTTAAAAATTGAACTAAATAACCCTTGATTTCGTCTCAGGCACCGTTTAGCCTTTGATCGAAGGACGTTAAATTTTTCATTCGTAAATAAGTAAAAAAAAAAACTAATGTATTAACTTTCTTTTCAACAAATAGTGACTCTCGACATATGTGAAGAGTACACGAAAAAGAAATATTTCAGACATTATTCTTTTGTATTTTATCTTCTACACTGAGAATGACGTATTTACTATATATACTCGCACTTATGAAGCACTTTTTTTTTTTTTGTCTAAATGTCGTAAAATGCATTTTGAAACAAAAATAAATGACCAGATAAACACAACGAAAAAAAGATTAAATTATAAATATAAAATTTCCAAGGTTATTTATTTTCTTTTTATTATTATATTCATAGAATCTTTTATCAGTCTTTCTTTGTCTTTTTTTTTCTTCTTCTTAGCGAACTATCTTTTTTTTTTTCATGTTTTATGTCTCTTCGTTTGCATCTTAACAAAATAATTCTTTATTTTCAAAATTGTTTTTTTTTGTTTTCGTTATTTCTATTATCTTAATTTTGGTTTTTTATTGATTGTTTATCGATAATCAATAAAAAAATACTTTTATTTCATATTGCTTCTCGAAAATTCTATAGTAAACTAACTCAACAAGCTGTCTATTTTCTTTTCTTTCTCTTTTGCTTTGAAATGCTAACGTCATTGCAAATAAGAACAAATAGTGAGTGGAAAAACTACTTCCATTCTTTCTCTATGTTTTTGCCCATGTATTGCTAATAAATCGCCCCCGTTGTTTCCCGATGAGACAAGGCTATAGCTTGTCTTTTTCTGCTTTTTTTTTCATTTCTTTCATCATATTCCAATGATACGTACTCGACAGGCAGCTGTCGCGTGTGGTTTTTTAGGAGTAAAAGGAAAAAAAAAAGAGAGAAGGGGCAGAACATGCACTGTCGGCGTGGTATTGTTACTTGATTTGCCTATCGACGCAAGCAGTAGAAGCAGCAAATAATAACAACGATATTGCTGTTTCTTTTTTTATCTGCATCGTTTTCTTTTTTTTACTATTAAGTGAGTTGAGTGATTTCGAACTTTTTTTTTTCATTTCTGTCTTTTCTTTTTTCGGTAGACGAAAGAGCAAAGGTAGTAAATAGTGGCGTGGATGTCGATGATGCTTTCATCTTCAAGTAAATGAAATGTAGCTCACATAAAATATAAAGAAAAGAAAGACATGCCAAGACACTACTCAAAAATGAAACAAAAATGCACACATTGTTATAGACTGTAGCAGTAAGTTTTCGATTGACTAAATAATGTACATATATATATAAATATATTCATATACTAGTAAATTGCCAATGAGTAAATATAAATGTATTCATGACACATCTATAGACTATGATTCGTTTTTCTTTTTCTTCTTATCCTTTTTCTTACTTTCTTTTTTACTTTGCTTTGTGAATAATAATTCATACGTATCTTATGAGAACAAGGTCTTACATCATTGTGCATAGTTGGCAATGAAATTATCAAATAAAAATGATGGATGATTAGTTGTAAGCGAAATAAGAATACGTAGTAAATGAAGACATGCGCCATATTCATTCTGTCGATAACATATATTATGAGAGAGTATTTGATGAAGATATAACTATTGTGATATAAATCGAATAAATAGAGGTCAATGTCCCCTGATCATTTTCTTTTCTACTTCCTTCTTTATATTAACAGTTGACACCGACATCAATCGACATGTACTTTAATAAATAGTAAAAAAAGGAAACAAAAAAAAGAAAATTTTTGTCTTGCTTATTGACAATCAGATGTAAGCATTAATTTTCTTTTCTATTCGTTTGATTCAAAAGCAAAACAACAAATATGTTAAGAAGATGTTTAATTATAATGAAAAAAGAGCGACGACAAAACGAGGAATAATGTCATTAATACGTATATCTCTTCTTATGTGGCTGATGAATGACATATATTTCTTCTAGATATACATATATATTTTTTTTCTTGCTTCTGTTTGTTTCCATCTTGATCACGAGTAGTATGTTGACTGAAAATAATTTTCATCATCAT